GTACAATAAGCAATCAAATCATACTAGGAAACAGTCAATATAAATTGTAAGGATACAAGTGACAAAGTTACAGTCACACAGTCACAAGTGGGAGGGGATGGGCTAGAATAGAATAGAATGATGAGAAGATTAACAGTAATAGTAGTGCAGACTTTGTAATAGTTGAACAGTGTTGAGGGAATTATTTGTTTAGCAGAGTGATGGCTTTCAAGGAAAAAACTGTCGTGTCTAGTTGTTCTGGTGTGCAGTGCTCTATAGCGTCGTTTTGAGGGAAGGAGTTCAAGAAAGTCCAGACTGCCTTTTGGAAAAGCACTTTTGGGAGAATATTTGCAGTTTTTCCTGGAAAGTCTTATAAAAATAGATGTTTTTCAAGCTTGAAGGTAGCCAGCCTTTGCTCTCTTTCTCTGTCCACCTTTGTCTCTTAAATCTCTCTGTTGCAAAATATGTTGATCTTTGCCCCGGGGAACTAATTTGCCCTTCGCTCCTTTTTTTATGACCATGATTTTCACCTGGTTTGTACAAGAAGACGACGGTTGGTCAACCTTGACAACTTCAGGATACGCTAAATTCATCTCCCAGAATTCCCCTGCCAGCATGGGAATTCTGGGAGATGAAGTCCACACCTCTTAAAAGTGCTTAAAGTTGACAAACACTGGACTAGAAAGCTGGTTTTAATGCTTAACGTTGCTGGGATGTTTATAAGTAATCCTCGACTCGCAGCCATTCATTTCACAACAGTTCTAAGTTACAACAGGGCTCAAAAACAGTGACTTACGACTGGTCCTCACCTTGCAACCATTGCCTCCCCGTGGTCATGTGGTCAAAATTCAGGGGCATGGCAACCATGCCCCTGAATTTTGACCACATGACCACGGGGAGGCAATGGACCACGGGGAGGCAACCAACATGCATGTTTACAACAATTGCAGAGATACGGGGTTACGCGATGGCCATTTGCGGTTTTCCTCGCTGAGGAGCAAATTCACTGGGGGGTGGGTGGGAGGAAAGCCATATTGGCTTAGCATCCTTGTGATTCGCTTAACGACCACAGCCGAAAGGTCATAGAATTGGATGTGACTCCTTGAACGTTTGCTTCACTTAGCAACGGACATTCCAGTCCCAACTGTGTCTGTAAGTTAAGGAATACTTTGTACTCCTGACATTCCTTAACTGGTCATGTATCCAGTGAAATGGGATAACTATCAAGAAATTTCTTCTTAATTCTGATTTCTCTCCTTGATCCGTTGCTTCTTGTCCTGCCTTCAAGTGCTTTGGAGAACAGCTTGACACCCCCCCCCCCCTTCTTTGGGGCAACCCCTCAAATACTGGAATACTGTCACCCCCTTAAACTAGACACCCCAATTCCTGCAACCGTTCTTCAAATGTTTTAGCCTCCAGTCCCCTAATTGTGTGTTGCATGAAAGTATCTCTACCTTCGTGTTCCACCTAGAATGTCTGCGGTCGTGTGGTTGACTCTTCTCCTGGCCGTGGTGTCGGCGGTAGACAAAAGCAACTTCAAGACCTGTGACCAGAGTTCCTTTTGCAAGTAAGTTGTGCGAAAATGGGAAGAGGTGGAGAAGGATGAAGGATGACGGCATGGTCCTCCTCTCCTGCATGGCCCTGGGCCTGCCATCTTGCGGGTGGAGTGCTTGGAGGCCGAGAAATTACCTCTCTCTCCAGACTGGGAGGGAGATTACCTAGCATGGGTGGTCTGTCTCCAGTAACCATGGTTTCCCCTCTTCAGGCGTCAGAGAAACTTACAACCTGGAAGCTCCCCTTATAGGGCGCTGCTGGAATCCCTGCAGCTGAGCCAAGAATCTATGAAAATCCAGCTTATTAATGAAGCAAACAAGGTAAATGAAACCCCTCGGGCTTCCTAAAAGGTCTGGAGAGAGGCTCGCTCTCTTTCAGACCAAACAGAAGGTCTGAGGGTTAGAAAATTGAGAACGGTCCCTGTGTGGGATCCTTTGGGGGGTGGGGTCTCTGAGCTTCTTGCAGATGTTTCATGACCCAGCTAGGGAACATCATCAGTGCTAGAAGGTTTGTGAGGAGGAGGAGGAGGAGGAGGAGGAGGGGGAAGAAGAGGAGGAGGAAGAGGATTGTGGGGTCCTTGGTGTTCTCCGAGCTGGGTGGTTTTCTTGCAGTCGTTTCATGACCCAGCTAGGGAACATCATCAGTGCTTGAAGGGAAGGGTGGCTTGGTTCTCTATACCATTGAAAGGAGACAATTAGACGTATATTGGGAATATTAAGACTGCACCAATAGAAGAAAGTATTTGTAGCTCAGGGTTGAACTGTGTGGGTCCATGGTGCTCTCTGAGCTTGGTGGTTTTCTTGAGGACGTTTCATGACCCAACTAGGGAACATCATCAGTGCTTGAAGGGAGTGGAGGAGGAAGAGGAAGAGAACTGTGAGGTCTTTGGTACTCTCTGAGCTTG